AACTGCAACATTAACACCCCTCCTTCAGAGTGCAGGCACTGTACTTCCCATCTCCAGGACTCAAGTCCGGCCTGCCGGTTTCCCTGAACCCCTTCATAAATGTTACTTTGCTCACACTCCAACAGCACGTCAAGTATTAAAAACCATTTGTCTCCATTCACTCTTATCAAACACGCTCACGCATACCTGCTGGAAGTCCAAGCCCCTCGCACACAAAACCTCCTTTACCCCCTCCCTCCAACCTTTCCTAGGCCGACCCCTACCCCGCCTTCCTTCCACTACAGACTGATACACTCTTGAAGTCATTCTGTTTCGCTCCATTCTCTCTACATGTCCGAACCACCTCAACAACCCTTCCTCAGCCCTCTGGACAACAGTTTTGGTAATCCCGCACCTCCTCCTAACTTCCAAACTACGAATTCTCTGCATTATATTCACACCACACATTGCCCTCAGACATGACATCTCCACTGCCTCCAGCCTTCTCCTCGCTGCAACATTCATCACCCATGCTTCACACCCATATAAGAGCGTTGGTAAAACTATACTCTCATACATTCCCCTCTTTGCCTCCAAGGACAAAGTTCTTTGTCTCCACAGACTCCTAAGTGCACCACTCACCCTTTTCCCCTCATCAATTCTATGATTCACCTCATCTTTCATAGACCCATCCGCTGACACGTCCACTCCCAAATATCTGAATACATTCACCTCCTCCATACTCTCTCCCTCCAATCTGATATCCAATCTTTCATCACCTAATCTTTTTGTTATCCTCATAACCTTACTCTTTCCTGTATTCACCTTTAATTTTCTTCTTTTGCACACCCTACCAAATTCTTCCACCAATCTCTGCAACTTCTCTTCAGAATCTCCCAAGAGCACAGTGTCATCAGCAAAGAGCATCTGTGACAACTCCCACTTTGTGTGTGATTCTTTATCTTTTAACTCCACGCCTCTTGCCAAGACCCTCGCATTTACTTCTCTTACAACCCCATCTATAAATATATTAAACAACCACGGTGACATCACACATCCTTGTCTAAGGCCTACTTTTACTGGGAAATAATTTCCCTCTTTCCTACACATTCTAACTTGAGCCTCACTATCCTTGTAAAAACTCTTCACTGCTTTCAGTAACCTACCTCCTACACCATACACCTGCAACATCTGCCACATTGCCCCTCTATCCACCCTGTCATACGCCTTTTCCAAATCCATAAATGCCACAAAGATCTCTTTAGCCTTATCTAAATACTGTTCACTTATATGTTTCACTGTAAACACCTGGTCCACACACCCCCTACCTTTCCTAAAGCCTCCTTGTTCATCTGCTATCCTATTCTCAGTCTTACTCTTAATTCTTTCAATAATAACTCTACCATACACTTTACCAGGTATACTCAACAGACTTCTTTCTTTCTTTCAACACACCGGCCGTATCCCACCGAGGCGGGGTGGCCCAAAAGAAAAAACCAAAGTTTCTCCTTTCAAATTTAGTAATATATACAGGAGAAGGGGTTATTGGCCCCTTGCTCCCGGCATTTCAGTCGCCTCTTACAACATGCATGGCCTACGGAGGAAGAATTCTGTTCCACTTCCCCATGGAGATAAGAGGAAATAAACAAGAACAAGAACTAGAAAGAAAATAGAAGAAAACCCAGAGGGGTATGTATATATACACTTGTACATGTATGTGTAGTGTGACCTGAGTGTAAGTAGAAGTAGCAAGACGTACCTGAAATTTTGCGTGTTCATGAGACACAAAAAAGGACACCAGCAATCCTACCATCATGTAAAACAATTACAGGCTTTCGTTTTACATTCACTTGGCAGGACAGTAGTACCTCCCTGGGCGGTTGCTGTCTACCAACCTACTACCTAGGACTCAACAGACTTATCCCCCTATAATTTTTGCACTCTCTTTTATCCCCTTTGCCTTTATACAAAGGAACTATGCATGCTCTCTGCCAATCCCTAGGTACCTTACCCTCTTCCATACATTTATTAAATAATTGCACCAACCACTCCAAAACTATATCCCCACCTGCTTTTAACATTTCTATCTTTATCCCATCAATCCCAGCTGCCTTACCCCCTTTCATTTTACCTACTGCCTCACAAACTTCCCCCACACTCACAACTGGCTCTTCCTCACTCCTACAAGATGTTATTCCTTCTTGCCCTATACACGAAATCACAGCTTCCCTATCTTCATCAACATTTAACAATTCCTCAAAATATTCCCTCCATCTTCCCAATACCTCTAACTCTCCATTTAATAACTCTCCTCTCCTATTTTTAACTGACAGATCCATTTGTTATCTAGCTTTCTTAACTTGTTAATCTCACTCCAAAAATTTTTCTTATTTTCAAACAAAATTTGTTGATAACATCTCACCCACTCTCTCATTTGCTCTCTTTTTTTCATTGCTTCACCACTCTCTTAACCTCTCTCTTTTTCTCCATATACTCTTCCCTCCTTGCATCACTTCTACTTTGTAAAAACTTCTCATATGCTAACTTTTTCCCCCTTACTACTCTCTTTACATCATCATTCCACCAATCGCTCCTCTTCCCTCCCGCACCCACTTTCCTGTAACTACAAACTTCTGGTGAACACTCTAACACTACATTTTTAAACCTACCCCCATACCTCTTCGACCCCATTGCCTATGCTCTCATTAGCCCATCTATCCTCCAATAGCTGTTTATATCTCACCCTAACTGCCTCCTCTTTTAGTTTATAAACCTTCACCTCTCTCTCCCTGATGCTTCTATTCTCCTTGTATCCCATCTACCTTTTACTCTCAGTGTAGCTACAACTAGAAAGTGATCTGATATATCTGTGGCCCCTCTATAAACATGTACATCCTGAAGTCTACTCAACAGTCTTTTATCTACCAATACATAATCCAACAAACTACTGTCATTTTGCCCTACATCATATCTTGTATATTATTTATCCTCTTTTTCTTAAAATATGTATTATCTATAACTAAACCCCTTTCTATACAAAGTTCAATCAAAGGGGTCCCATTATCATTTACACCTGGCACCTCAAAAATTACCTACCACACCCTCTCTAAAAGTTTCTCCTACTTTAGCATTCAGGTCCCCTACCACAATTACTCTCCTTACTTGGTTCAAAGGCTCCTATACATTCACTTAACATCTCCCAAAATCTCTCTCTCTCCTCTGCATTCCTCTCTTCTCCAGGTGCATACACGCTTATTATGACCACTTCTCGCATCCAACCTTTACTTTAATCCACATAATTCTTGAATTTACACTTTCACATTCTCTTTTCTCCTTCCATAACTGATCATTCAACATTACTGCTACCCTTCCTTTTGCTCTAACTCTCTCAGATACTCCAGATTTTAATCCCATTTATTTCCCCCCACCGAAACTCCCCTACCCCTTCAGCTTTGTTTCGCTTAGGGCTAGGACATCCAACTTCTTTTCATTCATAACATCAGCAATCATCTGTTTCTTGTCATCAGCACTACATCCACGCACATTCAAGCATCCCAGTTTTATAAAGTTTTTCTTCTTCTCTTTTTTAGTAAATGTCTACAGGAGAAGGGGTTACTAGCCCATTGCTCCCGGCATTTTAGTCGCCTTATACGACACGCATGGCTTACGGAGGAAAGATTCTTTTCCACTTCCCCATGGACAATAGAAGAAATAAAGAAGAACAAGAGCTATTTAGAAAAAGGAGAAAAACCTAGATGTATGTATATATATATGCATGTGCGTGTCTGTGAAGTGTGACCAAAGTGTAAGTAGGAGTAGCAAGATATCCCTGTTATCTAGCTTGTTTATGAGACAATCCTACCATCATGCAAAGCAGTTACAGGCTTCTGTTTCACAGTCATCTGGCAGGACGGTAGTACTTCCCTGGGTGGTTGTTGTCTACCAACCTATTATATTCAATATAAAAAATATTGAATACTATAGACTATGTTTAGATTATTCACCCCAAAGGACTATAATGTACGCAATACGTACATTATAGTATCAATAACAACACTGTGCTAGCCAAGGATTCGAACCCATGTTGTACTGGCCTGCCTCATGGTAAGCGAGAACCACATGACGCTTTAAACCACAGGAGTGGTCCTGTGGTTTAAAGCGCCATGTGGTTCTCGCTTATCATGAGGCAGGCCAGTACAACATGGGTTCGAATCCTTGGCTAGCTCAGTGTTGTTATTGATCAATACCACTCGTCTGTGGTTACAATAACATATTATCACAATAGTATATTACATATGCTATTATTACAATAGTATATTATCAAAATTACACTGTAATAACACATTCCCATTAACCCTTGTGGGTCTAGCACTCCCCTCCTAATTATAATAATATATATTCCCATGCTATTTAACATTTATGTACCTACTCTAGCTGTATTTCTACAATTATTGAACATGTTGGTGTTTGGGAATAAAATGTGAGAAGTGATTAAAGAAGAAAGTTGTGTATTGGAGGTATGATATTAACTTGGGCACAGCCATGATAGTCATTTCTTGGCTGGGGGTTTACAGGCCCACCATAGCTTTCATCATATTGAGCCATAGTCAGAACCTCTCAACATTTCCAGACACAACCACCTCCCCTTTTCTTCAATACAGTACTTCTGCATTTTTCCTTCGTTATTACTGTAGTGTATATGTTTGTTATAGGTGTGGTGAGTGCCTGTATATTTGGTGCAGTTTGGTAAGGAAGTTTGACTTACTTTTACTGACGTTGACAAACACATCTGATTCTTGCTCAATCTCTGCCAAGTTTCGCTACATCATACCTCTCCACACACTTCCACATCAACTAACAGTGACAACTAAGATAAGCTATATTATTTTTACATAGTATTAAAACAATTGTTTGGCATAGTTAGAGGTAACTGGAATTCAAACCCTTTCATAACTTTCTAAGCCTTATAAATTAAATTTGACCAGAATTTTTATCTTAGTGCTTGCCAAATAATATTTCAGGTGAGTCTTCTAATGAAAGCAGGAGGGCATCAACGAGAGGCAAAATGCTGTTACATAAAATTTCACCATCTATACAGTGGATACCAAACAGCATATGCCTATAATAGAGAATGTAGCATCCGGGAGCGACGACGACCACCTTTCTATTTCAAGATCCACTCATTGTTTGGCTACCAAGAAATAATTCCAGGGTACGAGTCTGGTAAGTTAAATGAATAATCACTGAGGATGGGATAATACCAAAGTTTTTTGCTGATACTGAAACCGATACTCAATTTTAGGCCCATCCTGATATCATCAAAGATAGCTGATACCCACTGATACTGATACCATCAAAATTTGCATGTAAAAATTTAAAATGTGAAAGGGTGTACAGGTCGGCCATCACTAATCCAGCATCATTGGGACCTGTAGTGTGCCGGATTAGTGAGTTTGCTGGATTACAGATGGTTAGGTTAGAATACACTTAATTAACCTATCAATAAAGACTCTTTCTGCTACATCTTCCTCATTTTCTTCAGTGCTTTTTTCTCCACTGGCTTGCTGCTGTGGATTTACAACCATCTGCACAATTTCTGAGTCAGTATAATGATGAAATCTGAAATTATGCTAGCCGAAATTAGTGCCAGATTAATGATGGAACCAGATAACTGATTGATTGCCGGATTAGTGATGGCCGACCTGTACCATACATCTGAAATTTTTTTAATGAAAGATGGAATATCAGAATTCTACTGAAATTAAAATAGAATTTGTTAATGTATAATGTGTGTGTTAAAGAAATTACAGATATGTTTACGTAACTAATATGTGCTGTAATAGTCATTTTCAATTTTTGTCATTGGTCATTTCATACACATAATGTGACCTTTGCAACTATACACTTGACAGATTCCAAGACTAATAAAGATCAAGATTTGGATGTTGATGAACAAGAAGTGATTGAAATATTGTTGGCTGGATTGAAGGACATGAAGAATCTTGCTTTTCACAGTGTTCCTCGTCTACCACTTCTGTTGTCTCTGGCGCATTTCCTTGATGACCAATATCAGCATCTGCCCTATGCCTTCACACCATATCAGTAATTACTGAAATTGTTTTAAAGTCCAAAGAAATAACATAAAGCTTAACTTTTGTTAATATATAGATGTTGTACAAGATTTCAGGTAGTCTGTCACTGTATACAATTTGCTGTTGTCCTTGATTAAAAGGGTTAGCTCATTTATTGCACCCTTCCTTTATGCCATTTTTTTTATTTTGACAGTGTATAATGAATAACTGCTTTGCTAACATCTAATGGATTTATGCATTCTTTTTTTTTACAGGGTCTGGCATCTCTTGGTACAGCTTCACCATGCTCAACGGGAGACTGTCCAAGAAGCTTGTGAGGGGCCATTTGGTGCAGATCTTGATGGCTTGTGGCAAGATCATTCAAGCCCTTTAATGGCTTATGGTTTTCATGCTGTGCCTGTCTCAGGATGGCAGTCGGTACATATGCTTTTCCTTCTTGTTAATTATACATTTTTACCCTTCACATGTGGTCAGACATCACTAGACTGAAACTTTACTAAATAATTATAGTCCTGCAAAGAATTACCATGTCTGTATGAGTGATTCTTGGTGAACTTATATAAATATTATTTTTTATATTTAAGAAAGTTTAAGGCATTTTAATTTACTTAGAGATATTAACATGATGGCTGTAGAACATCTTTGCTCTGAGTTAACACTGATAATATTTAATTATATGTAGTATTATATAGGCTCAGGGATGTCACCACCACCCATCACTCATTAGTGAAGCCCCCTGTAATGACGGTGATTATACTTTGTTAGTGTATTATCATTCTCATTCACTTTCATGTTAGGTAAACCAGAATGGAGAATTTTTAACAAATGTTTCAGGTATTCCTTTAGGAGGTACAGTGGACCCCCGCTTAACGATCACCTCCAAATGCGACCAATTATGTAAGTGTATTTATGTAAGAGCGTTTGTACGTGTATGTTTGGGGGTCTGAAATGGACTCTACTTCACAATATTCCTTATGGGAAAAAATTCGGTCAGTACTGGCACCTGAACATACCACTGGAATGAAAAAAGTTCGTTAACCGGGGGTCCACTGTACAGGAGGGCCCCAGTTTATGGGACTTCTCTTCTCAGCACTTCACTAATACAGGCATTTCAAATCATACCCAAAAATTTGTTTATATGGTTCCTAATTTGCTCCCAGCTGGACATCTGAGCATCATTTTCTTTTTTTCTGTTTACTTCCTCCCTGAGCTTCACATCTCTCTTGATTATCTCTTGGAAACTTTCCAAAGTTACAAGAGTTTTAAAGTTATTACATATTTATACATGTACTTTTTTGTGTGTTATAATGCCATCTAAGGGTAGTTGTGATAAAAAGCAGAGTTGTAAGGCTCCTTTAAGTGCAAAGTTAGAAATTATTAAACTCAGTGAGTAAGGTATGTCTATGGCTGAGATAGGACTGATATAGTACTGATAATTGTACTTACGTGTACACATACTGTACTGGTGAGCAGGTACATTACACACTGTGCTGGCATGCAGGTACATTAAATCATTAAATTCACTATTTGACATTACAAAATAGGAGTAGCTACACCAAGCAGGGAAGTAATTAAGAGTGTCTCACTGGGGTTGAAGAAGCATAATAATAAGGGAGGGGGTGAAAGAGGTTTTGTGTACAAGGGGCTTGGACATACAGCAGGCATGTTTGAGCATGTTGGGAGTGAATGGAGACAAATGGTTTTCGGGACTTGACAAACTGTTGGAGTGTGAGCAGGGTAATATTTTGTGAAGGGATTCAGGAAAACTGGTTACCCAGACTTGAGTCTTTGAAGTGGGAAGTACAATGCCTGCACTTCAAAGGAGGGGTTTGGGATATTGGCTGTTTGCAGTGACATCTAAACTGTCGTATCTGGGTGCCTCTGCAAAGACAGTGATTGTGTGAATGATGGTGGAAGTGTTGAATGATGGTGAAAGTGTTTTTTTTTTGGGGGGGGGTCACCCTGCTTCAATGGGAGATGACAGATGTGTTAAAAATAATAATAATAGCTCTGAGGTGCTTTAAATGTTGTATATTACATTTCAGTGGATCCCCGGTTCGCGATATTAATCCGTTCCTGAGAGCTCATCGTAAACCAAAATTATCGGAAAGCGAATCAATTTTCCCCATAAGAAATAATGGAAATCAAATTAATCCGTGCAAGACACCCAAAAGTATGAAAAAAAAAACTTTTACCACATGAAATATTAAGTTTAATGCAATAGAATAATTACAATAATAACAATAACAATAGAATAATATGTAACAAAATAATAATTGCCACTTACCTTTAATGAAGATCTGGTGATGATTGATGGGATGGGAGGAGGGGAGAGTGTGGATGGTGTTAGCATTTAGAAGGGGAATCCCCCTCCATTAGGACTTGAGGTAGCAAGTCCTTTTCCAGTTTTACTTCCCTTCTTCTTTTAATGCCACTAGGACCAGGTTGAGTGTCACTGGACTTGTCGCACAACATATCTGTCCATAGAGGTCTGTACCTCTCGTTCCTTTATGACTTTCCTAAAGTGGTTCACAACAGTGTCATTGTACAAATTGCCAACACGGCTTGCAGTAGCTGTCTGAGGGTGATTTTCATCAAAATAGCTTTGCACTTTAAGCCACATTGCACACATTCCCTTAATCTTTGAAGTAGACAGCTTCTTCAATTTCTCTATCCCCTCCTCCGGAGCAGTTTCTTCAGGTGTGGCCTCTTGCTGTTGAAGATGATCTAGCAGCTCATCAGTGGTTAGTTCGTCATTGTTCTCCTCCATCAACTCTTCCACATCCTCCCCACTAACCTCCAACCCCAAGGACTTCCCCAGTGCCACAATGGATTCCTCAACTGGCATAGGCTTCTCAGGGTTAGCCTCAAACCCTTCGAAATCCCTTTTGTCTACACATTCTGGCCACAGTTTTTTTCCAGACAGAGTTCAAGGTCTTCTTAGTCACTCCCTCCCAAGCCTTACCTATAAGGTTTACGCAATTGAGGATGTTAAAGTGATCCTTCCAAAACTCCTTTAGAGTCAATAGAGTATCTGTGGTCACTTCAAAGCACCTTTCAAACATAGCTTTTGTGTACAGTTTCTTGAAGTTGGAAATGACCTGCTGGTCCATGGGCTGCAGGAGAGGAGTGGTATTAGGAGGCAAAAACTTGACCTTAATGAAACTCATGTCCCCAGAAAGTCGCTCTGCCAAGTCTGTAGGATGACCAGGGGCATTGTCTAATACCAGGAGGCACTTAAGGTCTAATTTCTTTTCAATTAGGTAATTTTTCACATTGGGGGCAAATGCATGGTGTAACCAGTCATAGAAAAAGTCCCTAGTGACCCATGCCTTACTCTTTGCCCTCCACAGCACATGCAAATTAGCCTTGAGGATATTCTTTTGCCTGAACCCTCTGGGAGTTTCTGAGTGATACACCAATAAAGGCTTCACTTTGCAATCACCACTAGCATTGGCACACATCAGAAGAGTAAGCCTGTCTTTCATAGGCTTATGTCCTGGGAGTGCCTTTTCCTCCTGAGTATTGTAGGTCCTGCTTGGCAATTTCTTCCAAAACAGGCCTGTTTCGTCACAATTAAACACTTATTCAGGTTTTAATCCTTCAGCCTCTATGTACTCCTTGAATTCATGCACATATTTTTCCAGCAAGCATGCGTGAGCGTGTTAGATAGGAGTGAATGGAGACGAATGGCACTTGGGACCTGACGATCTGTTGGAGTGTGGGCAGGGTAATATTTAGTGAAGGGATTCAGGGAAACCAGTTATTTTCATATAGTCGGACTTGAGTCCTGGATATGGGAAGTACAATGCCTGCACTTTAAAGGAGGGGTTTGGGATATTGGCAGTTTGGAGGGATATGTTGTGTATCTTTATACTGCAAAAACAGTACTCACCTAATTGTACTCACCTAATTGTGGTTGCAGGGGTCGAGACTCAGCTCCTGGCCCCGCCTCTTCACTGATTGCTACTAGGTCCTCTCTCTCTCTCTCTGCCTCCTGAGCTTTATCATACCTCTTCTTAAAACTATGTATGGTTCCTGCCTCCACTACTTCACTTGCTAGGCTATTCCACTTCCTGACGACTCTATGACTGAAGAAATACTTCCTAACGTCCCTGTGACTCGTCTGAGTCTTCAGCTTCCAGTTGTGACCCCTTGTTCCTGTGTCCCCTCTTTGGAACATCCTATCTCTGTCCACCTTATCTATTCCCCGCAGTATCTTGTATGTCGTTATCATGTCTCCCCTGACCCTTCTGTCCTCCAGTGTCGTCAGTCTGATTTCCCTAAACCTTTCCTCGTACGACATTCCCCTGAGCTCTGGGACTAGCCTTGTTGCAAACCTTTGTGCTTTCTCTAACTTCTTGACGTGCTTGACCAGGTGTGGGTTCGAGACTGGTGCTGCATACTCCAGTATGGGCCTAACATACACAGTGTACAGTGTCTTGAACGATTCCTTATTTAGGTATCGGAACGCTATTCTCAGGTTTGCCAGGCACCCATATGCTGCAGCAGTTATTTGGTTGATATGTGCCTCCGGTGACGTGCTCGGTGTTATGGTCACCCCGAGGTCTTTCTCCCTGAGTGAGGTCTGTAGTCTTTGTCCACCTAGCCTATACTCTGTCTGCGGTCTTCTTTGTCCCTCCCCAATCTTCATGACTTTGCATTTGGCAGGATTGAATTCGAGAAGCCAGTTTCTGGACCACATGTCCAGCCTGTCCAGGTCTCTTTTCAGTCCTGATTATGTGTGAGTGTGGTGAAAGTGTTGAATGATGATGAAAGCATTTTCTTTTTGGGGATTTTCTTTCTTTTTTGGGTCACCCTGCCTCAGTGGGAGACGGCCGACTTGTTGAAAAAAAAAAAAAAATTCAGCCGCTTTGTGGTCTGAACTGGCAGCCTCACCATGCCTAATCACACTATGTATGCCACTACGATTCTTAAATCTTTCAAACCAGCCTTTGCTGGCCTTAAATTCACTCACATCACCACTAGTTGCAGGCAATTTTTTTTACCAAATCGTCATGCAACTGCCTAGTCTTTTCACAAATGATCACTTGAGAGATGCTATCTCCTGCTATCTGTTTTTCATTTATCCACACCAATAACAGTCTCTCAATATATTCTAACACTTGCGGTCACTGTTTCGTAATCACAGTTGCACCTTTTGCAAGAACAGCTTACTTGATTGCCGTTTTCCTGCTCACTATAGTAGAGATGGTTGATTGGGGTTTACTATACAACCTGGCCAGCTCCGACACATGCACTCCACTTTCGTACTTTGCAATTATCTCTTTCTTCATTTCAACAGTCATTAGCACCCTTGGTCTCGAAGGGTTGGCACTAGGAGCTTTCTTGGGGCCCATGGTGACTTATTTTGCAGAAACAAGCACCAAAAACAGTGATAACATGGGTAATATGGAATGTACCGAATGTATCCTTAGATGCGCGCACACTGGCTGGCTTGTAAACACTGGCACACATGGGGCAGTTCAGGCCACACGTGGACACGTCTCATATGAACCGCATCACATACCGGGTTTTGTAACGGGAACCGAGGCAAATTTTCTGCAATATAATGCATCAGTTACCGGATTTATTGGATACCGATAGCATCGCGAACCGGGGGTCCACTGTATAGAGATTTTTATTAATCTATCTACGTATGACATTTTTCAAAATTACATGTCATACTATAAGCATACTGCATACAACCATACTAGAACAAATTGACATAATTGTGAGGTGTGGTAGCTGGGTGGCTTGTAGGACTGTACGGCAAGAATTACAATAAGATGTTCTCTCTACAGTCCACTACCACCAGAGAAACTGTGTATATTACTGGGGGTAACTGTAGAAAAACACTCCTTTTGTATGCCTTCACTCATAAATAGCATCACTCTCAAAAGGGCATGTTGCATGAGTCTGGGAGTTGTGCTGTTATACAGGCTACTGCACCAACATGTCTTGAAGACAACTTGTACACAATGTAAAGTGATTGTATTGTGGAGAAAACTCTCCACAAACACATACATAATGTCAGATGGACACGTATCAACAGCCAGTGTACAGGTATTAATACGTGTCCATCCAACTGCCCACCTAAAACACTGACACCATATGTATACACATCTATGGACCACCCTCCCCATGGTGTTTAATAATAATAATATCTCCATGGAGAAGTGGAACAGAATTCTTCCTCTGTAAGCCATGCGTGTCGTAAGAGGTGACTGAGATACTGGAAATGAGTGGCTAGTAACCCCTTCTGTATAAATTACTAAATTTAATAAGAAAAACTTTATTTATTTATTTTTTTTTGTTAGATCACCCTGCCTCGGTGGGATATGGCCAGTTTGTGAACCTGGGTGTGTTGCCATGAACTCTGTGTTTCTCTTGAGTCCATCTGGAAGCTTTCCAAAGTTTCAAGTGTTTTAAAGTTATTATGTATATTTTTTTCTTCTTTTTTTCTCAACACAACGGCCATCTCTCACCGAGGCAGGGTGACCCAAAAAAGAAACACTATCACTGTGTTTGCAGAGGCACTCAGATATGACAGTTTAGATGTCATTCCAATCAGCCAATATCCCAAACCCCTCCTTTAAAGTGCAGGCATTGTACTTCCCACTGCCAGGACTGAAGTCCAATTAACCAGTTTCCCTGAATCCCTTCACAAAATATTACCCTGGTCACACTCCAACAGCTTGTCAGGTCCCAAAAACCATTCGTCTCCATTCACTCCTATCTAACATGCTCACACGTGCCTGGTGCATGTCTGGGCCCCTTGCACACACAACCTCATTTACCCTCTTCCTCCATCCTTACTTAAGAGGATCTCTACCCCTCCCCCCCTCCACTACAGATTTATACATCCTCCAAGTCATCCTATTTTGCTCCATCTGTTCTAAATGACCAAACCACCTCTAACCCCTCTAACCCCTCTTCAGTGCTCTGAACAATACTTTTAGTAATGCCACACCTCCTAATTTCCACACCACAAATTCTCTGCATAATATTTACACCACACATTTCCCCTCGACATGACATCTCCACTGCCTCCAGCCTCCTCCTTGCTGCAGCACTCGTAACCCATGCTTCACATCCATATAAGAGTGTTGGTATCACTATACTCTCGTACATTCCCTTCTTTGCCTCCATAGATAACATTGTTTGTCTCTATTATATAGACTGTTTCTGTGTTATGATGGGGCCCTCCTGTATTCTGATAGGTACTTGAAAGTTTCTAAAATAGCTGGAGAAAATTCTACACACTTTATCCTTGAAGTATTCCTCTTTTTTTTTAGGTGAAAATAATAAATTTGAATTTGAATTCTTATAAACTATTTTTAATTGCTGTATTTGTATCTTTCAGATCTCTGATTGGAGTGAGGAGGAATTAAATATGCTAGTCAAGACAAGCATAGAGTGGAAGTTAAACTCACCTGAAGATATGTCTGTAAGTGAGGTATACTGTGAGGCAGTCCAAAGCCTCAATAAGACTATTGAACAGGGCCTTCAGCAGTGGCATTACATGGTAAATGTACTTAAACATGGTGGATACTGCCAATATAAAGATAATATTAATCTTGTTGATGTGCTCCAGACTCATTCTAAACAACATGTGAGTGTTGGCAAGAGTAAAGAAAGTAAAGCAAAGTTTTGCGAGAAGAGAAAAGACAGTTATTCAGCTGCTCCTCAAGTGAGTTCACATATAAGTCAGAATACTTCACACCATAATAAAAAAGTATCTCCTAAATCAGCAACAAATAATAAAAGTGTTATTGAGAGAGAAAATTTTAGCATCTCATTGCTTAAGAGTTCTCAAGACTTTGAACTTTCAGATACAACAGAAAATATAAAAAGCTCAAGTGAAATACCAGATGATTTTACCACAGAAGGGAAATTAAAAAATATCACTGTAACAACAAATGAGACAGTAAACCAGAAATGCACAATCCAGTTAGGGATGACAAACACTTCAGAGGAGAAGAATGAAATCCAAGTGGAAGTTTTGAGTATTACTGAGAATGATGATTCAAAAGTAATAATGTGTCAAGTAGATAAGGGTCAACAAAAGAGAATCATAAAGCTCAAGTACCCAGCTAGACATCCTTTCCCTGTTGATATCAAATACATTAAGATTCCAAGGACGCTTATAGAGCCTTCTTACATAACTCTCCCTGGTGAGGACTCGCCTGAACTGAGAACCAAAAAAAAGAGTAGAGCATCATCTTACGGTACCTCAGGGTCCACGTATATAAGTCAATGTAAAATTATTCCACAATGTATTAAGAATAATCTTGAAGATGAAATTCAAAGGGATTTTTCTCTGACACCACAAAAATGGCAGCTTTGTGAATCTCTGGGGTCACAAACAAAAAGGCTTAGTGAATCATCAGTTGCACAGGTGAAAAAAACAAGACAAGAGTTATCTCTGTTACATATGTTGAGGAAGAGGGAGTCTTCGAAATTAAGATTGATGCTAAATAGAGGATCTCAGTTACAATTAAAGAAGTCAAGAGAGTTTTTGCATCTTCCACCTAAAAATAAACTTGGTGAGGTGGTATACCAACAAACAAAAAGTGATAGTATAGAACCTCCCCGACTGCCCTTCACAGAGAGGCTTGGAGAATCTTCAGATGTACCATTGAGAAAGTTAATTGGATCTTCCCAAAAACAAGTGAAAAAACCTACTGGGTTTTTCCAGTCAAGATTGCAGAAAAACTGCATGTATTTATCTCAAGTGAAATTAAAAAATAAAAAGAAACGTTCATTTATTCTATCCATTCAGGAAAGATCAGAAAAATATCAAGCAGTAAGCAAGTCTCAGCAGCATAAAAAAAACCTAAGAAAGGGTCTTCCCGATAATAAAAACTCACATCTCATCTCTCACAGTAAAAATGAACTTTGTACTGGCATTGTAGGTTGTGTCAGAAATAGAAAAAGAAAGGCAAAGCAAACAGTGAATGAACAGAGAAAGACTGATGAGCATAAGATGGAAGAGGAGACACCAGACCATAAGAAGAAAGGACAGGGAAAAACAGATACAATAAATTTGTTAAGTCAATATCATCTCCAGTGTGAACACGAAAAAGAAAGACTAACAAACATATGTCAAGAGAATTACCAGGAAGAAACTTCAACCCTATATAATATTATGTCTCTTATTAAAGAAATTAAATCTAAGTATGGCTTATAAAATATTTACTTACTGAAAAGCACACATAAGAAAACATTTTCTTTCTTTCAACACACTGACCATATCCCACCAAGGCAGGGTGGCCCAAAAAGAAAAATGAAAGTTTCTCTTTTAAATTTAGTAATTTATACTGGAGAAGGAGTTACTAGCCCCTTGCTCCTGGCATTTTAGTCGCCTCTTACAACACGCATGGCTTACGGAGGAAGAATTCTGTTCCACTTCCCCATGGAGATAAGAGGAAATAAACAAGAACAAGAGATAGAAAGAAAATAGAAGAATACCCAGAGGGGTGTGTATATATATGCTTGTACATGTATGTGTAGTGTGACCTAAGTGCAAGTAGAAGTAGCAAGACATACCTGAAATCTTGCATGTTTATGAGACAGACAAAAGACACCAGCAATCCTACCATCATGTAAAACAATTACAGGTTTTCGTTGTACAGTCACTTGGCAGGATGGTAGTACCTCCCTGGGCGGTTACTGTTTACCAACCTACTACCTAGGAAGAAAACATTTATTTTTATTTATCTACCATAGAAGTGAAACATATTTCATTGATCAAAACTAAAAAATAGGGGTGCGTCCAGCAGATTGGCTGAATCAGTTTGATAAGAGGACAACAGATGTACAGTGGCACGAAAAAATAGAAATAGCAGAATTAATAAATCTCTTTTATTTGTAAAAATTCATGTAGAATCTGTAGCGGGGTAACCTTAGTCAGGGAGCTAATCTGTTAATGAGAGAAAGCATTAACATAACTTAAATCTGACAATGGAATTTTTTCACATAATTTACTCTGTTCAAATAGAAATAATCTTGATAAATAGCAAATTTAATGAATTTAATTTAAACTGTTTCACTGTAAAGATGACAATAATGAAGTGAGCATTGTGATTAGAACTGTGCAGTTCTCAGTAATTTTGCTGGGGTGAGCTACAACTGCTCATGGACTAAGGTGCAATAGTATTCCAGTACTTTAGATGCTCTCAGGAGAAGTAAACATTTTTGGCCATTGCCACTCACCCAAATGTTTGTGACTGTTTAATAACTTAATTAACTTGTATTTGTTTTCAACAATAAATAATGAAAGATGTAAATGTGCTCATGCTTCAACATCTGAGGTTTTCAGTGCTAGCCTGTCTTTAAGAACTATTCAGTAATGTTTGGTATAACAGTATTTTATTTCTTCACCGAAGACTGCACCTGTACCTAATGGAAATTTGGTACAATATATCCATATACAATGCAATCTTTTGCATATCCCTTTGGAATTACCAGCTCCATCTTTAAATTGCTAGATTGTAATTAATAAAAGCCTTGTGTAGTTCTTAGTCCAATAAGTCTTTGCCCCTCGATTAATTTGGTTATCCCATGGATCATTTCACCTATGACTCTACTCCATTTCAATACATGGTTTTAATGCCTTTACTGATTGTCAGCATATAATAACTTTCTTTAAACCTTGTTAAAGCTTATTACACTATTTGGTGTTACTACATTTTAACCCAAGCCAAGTAATTTGGCCTACAAGGCCTTCTATCTCTTAGATTAAGTCATATTATGTTATGCTAATATTGAGATTTGTCAGGGTGGTGTGCTTGGACTGTAGAAGCAGCTCATTGTAAACTAAATATGAATTAAAATAACAAATAGTTGCAGATACGACCACATACCTCTGGTCTGCGCGCACGTGCGCACTCACACACACACACACACACACACACACACAACCACACACACACACACACACACACAACACACACCACACACACACACACACACACACACACACACACACATACACACAACACACACACACACACACACACACACACACACACACACACACACACACACACACACACACACACACACACACACACACACACACACACACACACACACAAAGACATTAATGCCACTATTATTAGCATTTTCATTATAAATATTTGCTGCCCTCACCTTGGATCAATCATGATTACCTCCTATGGGTTTAGTACTTCATTGTGAATAAAAGTGTTATAATAATATGTACAGGTATTGGAGACAGCAGTAAAGTGACCAAATTTTTCACTGAAGATTAGGAACTAAGAAAAAGAAAGGGGTTAGCAGAATTAAAGGGAAAGGAATGGTGAGAGTCAATCATGGGCCATTTATTTTTATTAACTTTAGATACACTCCATTGCATGATGACTTTTTTTACCCAACTCTTGAGCACTAACATCAAGACTCGAGTTCTCTAAACAATTGCAACCTTTTTTCACAGTGTTATGCATAAAAGACTGCTAGTTCAACTACCTATTTTGCACTGCTAAGTGAGCAGGAGTATAAGTAAACCTGTGTACTGTATATGTTTCACTGGCATGGGGAGTGAACCCAGGGCCTTTTGGCTGAGAGTCAAGCAATCTCACAACAGTTGCATGTCATTCCATAAAAGTTAAGAGAAAGAAAGTTGGGGGGGGGGAAGAGACAGGAAAAAATATGAGGATAGGGAATTTGCATAAGAAAGGGGGGTTAAAGATACTGAGAAAATAATAGAGACACTGGAAAAAGAATAATACGGAAGGAAGAAATTCATCCCGGAAGTAAGATCACTTACCAGGAAAGGCTTAAGGCTACATGACTAACCACTTTTCAAACGAGGCATGACAAGGTAGATACCAGAATCACAGGCGTTTCCTTAAATGGAGTTCCTTGATGCCAGTGAAGGGATACTGTGCCAAGAAATTGGAGCTACCATCCCATTCCTCAGATCAAACCTGATTGCCTTTTGTTTCTGAGGCCCTGTTCCCTGAAAAAAAGGTGCCCTAATGCTGGTACTCTTGATTCAAAGAATTGGACCCGTCCTCCCTCTCCTTGGATCAGACCTAATTTCCTCATATTTCTCAAGATACTGTATGACCCCTACTGGTTAAACACTCCCCTTACGAATGTAATAATTATAAATAATCATAAGGGGCACTGAGCTGTATGACCTCAACAAGTTTAGCACTTCAAATTCTATCATTTTTTCCTTAAGGGTTTCTGTGCAACAACTTAAGAACATCCCATCTAATGGGCATCAAGCTTTCAGCATCGATACAGCTTACTTAGAGGAAGGTTCAGATTGTTATTGGACTGTGTTCCCTCAAGGGAGGTGCCTAAATGCTGGCAAGATTTACACTTCTCTTCCCTGGATTGAATCTGATTGCTTCCCCAGGTGGTGTATAACCCCTACAGGTTAAACATCATTATTATAATCAAAAGGTGCTGTATAGCCCTTGTGGCTTAGCGCTTCTTTTTGATTATAATAATAATATAATCAAAAGGAAGTGCTAAACCTACCAGGGTCATACAGCACTTACAGGTTATACAGTACTTTGGGCTGTGTAGGTGCCAATTTTATAGCTGCAAATGGTGCAACAGTTTCCATTTGATAACATGTGATCTCTTCTGATCTCTTCACTGTCAACACAGGTGTATCCTACTTAGAAGGTTCAGACTGTCATTGGAGTGTTGGAGTCAATTTCCCAATTCATTTAAAATTGTGGGGGTATTATTTTCTGTGCAGTAACTTGAGAATACCTCTTCTGCATATGGGCCAGTAGGCCTGCTGCAGTGTTCCTCAATTCTTATGTTCTTTACTGCTGACATTTCATAACTAGCCAACAAAACTTAACATTTTATCCAGTTCAGAAACTGATCACGAATCTTAGCTGTAGTCTTTATCAAGTATGTCTTGTGATCAGTATTTTTTTCTTTTTTTCCAACAAGTCGGCCGTCTCCCACCGAGGCAGGGTGACCCAAAAAAGAAAGAAAATCCCCAAAAAGAAAATACTTTCATCATCATTCAACACTTTCACCTCACTCACATACAATCACTGTTTTTGCAGAGGTGCCCAGAAGCATATACATATAAAGATACACAACATATCCCTCCAAACTGCCAATACCCCAAACTCCTCCTTTAAAGTGCAGGCATTGTACTTCCCATTTCCAGGACTCAAGTCCGGCTATATAAAAATAACCAGTTTCCCTGAATCCCATCACTAAATATTACCCTGCTCACACTCCAACAGATCGTCAGGTCCCAAATACCATTCGTCTCCATTCACTCCTAACACGCTCACGCAAGCTTGCTGGAAGTCCAAGCCCCTCACCCACAAAACCTCCTTTACCCCCTCCCTCCAACCTTTACGAGGACGACCCCTACCCCACCTTCCTTCCCCTACAGATTTATATGCTCTCCATGTCATTCTACTTTGATCCATTCTCTAAATGACCAAACCACCTCAACAACCCCTCTTCAGCCCTCTGACTAATACTTTTATTTGATATACGTATTATATTGTCCTTAGATTTAAAGTGTGGTACATCAACAGCAAAAGCTAATTCTTATTTGCCCCTCAAGGAAGGTTCCTTGATGTTGGTGAGGGGCTCTTGATTTAGGGAATTGGATCTGTGCTCCATTTCCCCGAATTAAGCCTGAATGCCTTCCACATCCCCCCCCCCCAAGCGCTGTATAAACTGTTTGCCATACTCCTTGCACTCAAATGCGTCCATGTATCTAAGGTTGACACTTTAATTGTAACTGATTCTCTGTGATCCATAAATTCAATTCAAATTCAATTCAAAGTTTATTCTCTATAAGGATTACAATGCTGAGTTTACAGAAATTTGGTTATTGTTTGGTTTACATGTAGTAAAATTGTGATTACAGAGTGTACCACTAGAACGCTTAGCATGGCTAGGCATTTCGGGCATACTTAGTTTTATTCTTAATTGTAAAATATTACAAATATTACAAATTATGAGGTAAGTTGGTCTTATGGCTAAGTGACTAAATACTAGTTTATGAGTTTAGCAATGTGATTGCTTTTGTTTTGGCACAGTATATAGTTTCAGTATTGGAGTATCACAGGATTCATTATTTTAAGACTGAGATTAATATTTCTGTTTATGGTCAAATGAGTGAGCGAGTGTAAGTGTGAACCACCAGGTGGTATTCGTGTAGTTAGTTGACGGGGTGTATCAGGGAGATAAGATGTTTTCTAATGGTAGTTTTGAAGGTGATGAATGTGTCTGCAGTTCTAGAGTTCTCAGGTAGGGTATTCCAGATTTTAGGGCCTTTGATATACATTGAATTTTTGTAAAGGTTTAGTCGGACACGGGGAATGTCGTAGAGATGTTTGTGTCTGGTGTTATGCCTGTGGGTTCTGTCACAACTATCAAGAAAGCGTTTAGGTCAAGGTTGATATTAGAGTTTAAGGCCCTGTAGATATAGATTGCACAGTAGTAAGTGTGGATGTACTGAACTGGAGTAAGTTTAGATCTTTGAAGAGTGGGGGGTGTGCTGCCAGGGATGGGATTTAGTGATTATTCTTACTGCAGCTTTTTGTTGGGTTATTGTTGGCTTTAGGTGTGTTGCTGCAGTTGATCCCCAAGCACAAATAGCATAGGTGAGGTATGGATAAATAAGTGAGTGGTATAGTGTGAGAAGGGCATTTTGCGGCACGTAGTATCGTATCTTGGAGAGGATCCCAACCGTTTGGATACTTTTTTGGCTATATGCTGGATATGGGTGCTGAAATTCAGGGTGTTGTCAAGGTATAAGCCTAGGAATTTTCCCCCATTATTTCTGGTAATTAGAGTGTTGTCAATCTTAATGTTAATTTGTGCATCTCCTGCTCTGCTACCAAACATAATATAGTAAGTTTTGTCAGTGTTAAGCGTAAGTTTATTGGCTGTCATCCAAGTCGAATTTTAATCAGCTCCTCAGTCACAATGGTGTTGAGGGTGGCAAGATTAGGGTGAGAGATGACATAAGTCGTGTCATCAGCAAAGAGAATGGGTTTCAGGTGTTGGGATACGTTTGGAAGGTCATTGATGTATATGAGGAAGAGCAGGGGACCAAGGACACTTCCCTGCGGAACTCCAGTATCAAGTGGCCGTGTTGCTGATGCTGTGTCTTTAATGGTGACGTACTGATACCTATTAGTAATGTAAGATTTGAAATAAGCAAGCGCATGGCCTCTTATACCGTAGTGGTCAAGTTTGTGGAGTAGGATTTGGTGGTTTACTGTGTCAAAAGCTTTTCTTAGGTCAATAAAAATTCCTA